TCCCAAACCTAACACATCAAGACCTAATTTTAGTTTCTTCCTCCTAACACTACTGGCTACTAATAGCTTATACAATGCTTTTCCATAAGTAAATAAGATACAGCCTTTCTGGAAGAGGCAGTCTATGGACAACTATCTCAGGGAGCAGATCAAGAGCTAGATTTGAGTGCAAAGTCACCTATTTAAACATTTCTGTGCAGTACACAAATTTCACAACCATTCCTGGTAGGCTTGTGACTTTTCCATCTGAAAAAATGATACAAAAATCCTAATTGGTTAAAGCAAAAATCTAAGACTCAGTTTTGATCTTTCTTTTCCCTTTACATTTCTCATCATGTAAATGAATTTTTTTCTTTCAGAATATTTCTCTATGTTCACTTTTCCATCCTTACCATCATTTTCTTAGCTCCAAGCGCTGTGGTCTACTTTGCAACTAGTATCTTTCTTACTCGTCTATTTCTGCATTTATTCAACTCCCAGTAGAAAATAACAATGCTAACTTAAATACAGACTGAGAAAGAGATATGCACAAATCTAAGTAAAGGTTAATATTTGTAATGAACAAGAAACAACACATAGAAAAAAATCACATCTCATTAGATGAAGTATAATTTCTCACAAAAAGGATACAAAGTATTAACAAGGTATGTTAAATAGTCATTCTTATCAATATATTAATTAAAAAATAAAAGAAATTTCTCTAGAGATTTTCAATACTTTTTTAGAGAAATTGGCATAAAACATAAAATAAATTGTTAAATTGTGGTGATTATTTTGTGGGAACAGAGGGTAGGGACTGAAAGATTGTAACTTAAACACTCTGATTTCTTCTAAATTGTTTCATAAATTAGTATTCACATTTTAGAAATCTCTGCAAAATTATGTAAGCAGAGGATTAAAAAGTATATGACCCAGTAAACCTCCTCTAGGTTATTTAACCTCAGGAAATATGTAAAAAGAAGAAAAATATGTATAAATAGGTTGAGCACAGCAAACTAACTAACACTAAAAAAGTTAAATGTCCATCACAGTGTAATAGCTGTGCACACTCTTTTATATCAATGCTGTAAATGAGAAGTGTACATAGAAACTGGAATTAGAATCTACAATGTAATGTTAACTAAAAAATAAAAACAGAAATATATATATCCATTAGATAATTACTTACTATTTTAAGCTGGTATAGAGTTTTGAAAGACATAGCAGTAACAATTTGGAAATATGGTCATATAATTTTGGTGCTTTTATAAAAATATCTCATGTTTACCTGTTTATATAAATTGTGATTATCTTTAAAATTGTTATTTTAAAATATAAATATTCCATGGCATTGGTGAACAGCACAATTTAAAAATATGTGGAAAAAATATATAATTTTACTAATCTGAACAAAAAAATGGCAGTTTTTACTTTTGAGAAAGAATTGCTTTCTTTTTCTGTCATATTTGTTTTCTGTCATCAAAAATTGATGCTCAAATATTTACAAATGATTCTCAGTTTTTTGACTAACACAGAACAGATTTGTTTTCTTCATTTACCTGAAATTCATTTTGTGGAGTTCTAAATTTAAGGTTACATTGTGAGATAAATTCACTCTGAAATGGCACTTTTCTTACTTATAGAATTTGAATGACTGGTATTCCCATTCTATCTCTCTCTAATGATTAACATTAAATGTACATTGTACATTATAATGTATGTGTTAAATACATTTTATGGAACAAACTAAAAATAAATATTTAGGAATTTCTCACACACCCATAATGTATTTATATATGATTTATTTATGATATCCAATTTATTTAAATAAAAATCAGCGATTTGGCTAAATACTGGATAGTTATATTAAGAGTTGTGATGGCCAGTGATGAAGAGCATTTTTTCATGTGTCTGTTGGCTGTATGAATGTCTTCTTTTGAGAAATGTCTGTTCATATCCTTTGCCCACTTTTTGATGGGGTTGTTTGTTTTTTTCTTGTAAATTTGTTTGAGTTCTTTGTAGGTTCTGGATATTAGCCCTTTGTCAGATGAGTAGATTGCAAAAATTTTCTCCCATTTTGTAGGTTGCCTGTTCACTCTGATGTGATGCAGCTGGAAACCATCATTCTTAGCAAACTATCACAAGAACAGAAAACCAAACACCGCATGTTCTCACTCATAGGTGGGAACTGAACAATGAGATCACTTGGACTCGGGAAGGGGAACATCACACACCGGGGCCTATCATGGGGAGGGGGAAGGGGGGAGGGGTTGCATTGGGAGTTATACCTGATGTAAATGACGAGTTGATGGGTGCTGACGAGTTGATGGGTGCAGCACAGCAACATGGCACAAGTATACATATGTAACAAAAAAAAAAAAGAGTTGTGTTAATTCATTTTCACACTGCTATAAACAACTGCCTGAGGCTGGGTAATTTATAAAGAAAAGAGGTATAATTTGTTCACAGTTCCAAAGTCTGTACAGGAAGCATGGCTAGGAAGACCTCCTGAAACTTACAATGATGGCGGAAGGCAAAGAGGAAGCACACATCTGTTCACATGGCCAGAGCAGGAGGAATAGAGGAGAGGAGAGGTGCTACACACTGTTAAGCAACCAGATCGCAAAATAACTCACTCGCTATCACAAGAGAAACACCAAAGAGGAAATCTGTCCCCATGATCCAGTCTCCTCCCACCAGGCGCCACCTCCAACATTGCAGTTACAATTTGACATGAGATTTGGGTGGGGACACAGCCCCAAACCATATCAGGGTTCATGTCAATAAGTAAATGAAAATAGAGTAGTAAAAGGAAAAAATAATTCACGGTAATAAAAAAAAGGAGGAAAATAAAAGCCTTTAAAGGGAAGAAAAAAAACACACACTAAAACTCCCTACTAATGACAGTAATAGACACAGGAAAATATCATTTTAGGCTATTGTATTAACAAACCTGTAAAACACTCAACTTACAATGAGCTATGCGGAAGCAGGTGCTGTTGCTACGTCTCCTAGTTGATATCTTTTTTTTAAATTCAGATTGGCAGTATCTTTAAAAAGGCATTCCATGCCTATTCCTCTTAACCATAAATTCTGGAATTTATGGCTGAGATATTTACGTATTACACTCATGAATGAATAGATATGTATAAATTTTCTGTTTACAACATCGTTGACACAAAATTGGAAACATTTAAATGTCTATGTTTTGGGGGCTTAAGAAACAGATAAAATAGGTATTTTTTTCAACCATAATATTTCTGCTTGACATAAAGCAAGACTTAACTGAACTACAGAAATAAGTCAAAAAATAACAGATGCTAGTGAGGTTGCAGAGAAAAGGGAACACTTGTACACTGTTGGTAGAAGTGTAAATTAGTTCAACCATTGTGGAAAGCTGTATGGTGATTCCTTAAAGAGCTAAAAAGATAGGGGGGGGGGGGGGGGGGGGGGGGGGGGGGGGGGGGGGGGGGGGGGGGGGGGGGGGGGGGGGGGGGGGGGGGGGGGGAGCGAGTGATCCTTAAAAGAGCTAAAAAAAAAAAAAAAACTATGGCCTATGTATGACTTAGCAGACCACATTCAGATCGACATCCTTAACTGAAAGAAAAAAAAAAAAAAAAAAAAAAAAAAAAAAAAAAAAAAAAAAAAAAAAAAAAAAAAAAAAAAAAAAAAAAAAAAAGCAATCCCATTTACTGGCTATATGCCCAGAGGAATATACATCATTCTCTTATAAAGACACAAGCACATAAATGTTTATTGCAGCACTATTCACAACAGCAAAGACATGGAATCAACCCAAACACTCATCAATGACAGACTGGATGAAAAAATGTGTGGTTCATATAGACATGGAATACTATGCAGCCACAAAAAAGAATGGTATTATGTCTTTTGTAAGAACATAGATGGAGCTGGAGTCTATTATTCTCAGCAAACTAACTCAAGAACAGAAACCAAATGCCACATGTTCTCACTTATAAGTAGGAGCTAAATGATGAGAACTCATGAACAAAAAGAAGGAAACAACAGATAATGAAGTCTGTATGAGGGTAGAGAGAGGGAGGAGGCAGAGAAGCAGCAAAAGTAACTATTGGGTAATAGACTTAATACCTGGGTGATGAAATAATGTGTACAGCAAACCCCATGACATGAATTTACCTGTATAACTAACCTGCACATGTATCCCCAAATCTAAAATAAAAGTTAAAAATAATTTTAAAAGTAGACATTCTCAATCCACCTCCTTCTTAAACTCCAACTCAATTTTCATGCTATGATCAGAGCCCAGTTTCTGGCATGAGTTTTCTATACATATGATTTTCTCTTTTTTCCCTTCACTTCACTCTCTTCCCCCTTACAAACTCTTTATAAAAATTATTTTATTGTAATTGTGATATATTTGCCACATACAGATTTATATGCAGCATATATACCTTTTTAAACACACCAATACAAAAAATAGCTGTGATTCCTCGTCTAACCCAAAACTGCATTATCAATAACTTGTGTTATACATAACTATACCTCTACAATATCAATTACACAACACCAAGAACTAAACTGTATTCTTAATAATTCATATATGATTAGGTTAAAATAAAAATCCACTATGATTATGTCTCTTATAGGGAGAATTTAACGTGTTCATAATTCACTGTTGATATATTTTATGTATTTTTCTACATCATGCATCTACTTGTTCAGTTTTTAAATGTTTGCCTATTTTTGCTTAGTTTTCTTACTGTTTTGCAAATTAATTTGGCTAATTCTTAGATTTTATTTTTCTTATTCATGTATCTCTTTTGATTATATATCAGAACTTCTTTCATTTTTTATTGGCCTTTAAAAACATCACAATGAAAAGTAATTCCAGAACTGAAAACACTTTGCCTCTCTTTGTCACTTAAATAATTTATATGTCCTTATTTTGCAGTGCTATATTTTGCATAGTTTGGAGGTTCTTTGAGCTGCAATATTGGAAGCTTCATTCCATAATTGGCTTCTCTTTATGCTTCTTCCAGCAGCCAGCTAACACCAGGAAATAGCATGTTAACACAAACTAAGCCCCTCCTCCTCCAGGGCTCTGCTCAGTTCAAGGTTCTTGGATTCAGCTTAAGCACAGCTCTCCTGTTGCTATGTGCACCCAGCCTCAGGACAAGAATACCTAACTTGGCTTCTTGCTACTCTGGTCCCAGACCATTCATGTTATTTGGAGGAAGCATTGTTGGAGACCTCCTTTAATTATGAGATGAGTGATAATTCAAAGAATGTGCATTATGAAGAATATGCTTTTCTGTATTGAGAAGGTCCCTCCATCCTAGTCAACTTTATTTTGAAAGCAGAATTCTTTTGCTCTTCAAAAGGCTCCAATTCCACTTCAACCATAATCACTGTAAAAACACTGCTTAGTGAATAAAATATGGTCAAATCTAATGAGTATATTGTAGTTCTTATCTTTCTTAACCTCTCGGCAACATTCATTAAGTTATCAATCCTCCCTTTTTTGAACATGCATTTTTTGAATTCTAATATACTGTACTCCTGTAAGTTTTCTTCTTCTCTTTTTTTTTTTTCTTTTTTTTTTTTTGGAATCCTCTTTGCAGTCTCTTACCTCTTTTGATTGTTAAATAATGAAAAGCCTTAGGGTGTTGCTCCAAATCCCTTCTTGTCTCAATATACTTCTCCTCCTGTATGAAATAATTTATTACCATGTCTTTAAAAGTACAACTATGTATCAATGATTCCAGATATTTAATTCTACTTCATCTCTCTCCTCACATCAAACTTGTACATATAATAACTCAAAACATCTTTTTATATATGTTACCGGCAACTCAAATATATTATCCAACCTAAACTCTTAATCTTCTTGCCAAAGTATGTTCCTTTTTCAAGATTTGCCTATCTTAATAAATTATATTGCCATTTATTCTATAACTGAAATCAGATTTCTAGGAATCACCTTTTACATTCTCCCTTCCCCTATTCATACGTTGCACCTATCATCACCAAATCATGTCATTTCTAACTTCTAGGTATTTTTCTTGACTGTGTCCATTTCTTTTCACCTCTAATGCCTATAATGCTGTATCTTCTTAATCTTACACTTACTCCCTCCTATGCAACTTCATCATGATTAATAAGTACTATCTTTTGTAAATTATTCAATAGCTTCTTAGTGTACTTAGAATACAGGAAAAACCCTTTTCCTACTGTACAAAACCCTGAATAACATTTCCTTTAACTAGCTCTCTGGCGATACTTAATGCTTCCATCACCTTTATCATCATGCCTCATCCACGCTGGCTTTAAGTAAACTTTTATATAATAATGCTGCATAACAAACCCCATGTTTTATCCATGGCTAAAAACAACAATAGTTATGTTTTATGCATGAGGCTCTATGTCAACCATAGCAGCACTGCTACAGGCTGTAGGGCGTCTTATCATTCTGCGACCCTTGCTAAAGGAACAGTTTCTCTCTGGTGCATGGTGTTCTCACAATGTAATGTTAGAACACAATCTTAAGGAAATTCATAATCCATCTTTAGTCTCTACTCAAAACTAACATGGTTTCAGTTTTAACTACATTCCATTGCCAAAAGAAAGTCAGATTCCAAGCCCAACATTCACAGACAGAGACATCATACCACTTCCACAAGAAGGAGCGGGGATAGGACAGCCTGAAAATCTGATAAATAAAAATAAATAGATTGAAATTTTAATTTTTTAAAACCCATACTATTTTTTCTGAGGCCTTGGCATGAGGTTTGAGTAGTTTTCATTGAATTCTTTAAAGTTCTATCTTAAGACTACTTTTTGCTTAATATTAGGACTCCTTTCAGTTTTTTTTTTTCTTCTCATTTACCCTCAGTCATTAAATGAAATAGAAATGACAACTGAGAATTCTGAGACAAGGTTCTGTGTCAGTAGCAATAACCAGGAAGCATAAAATCAAATTTAATTTATAAAACTTCTTTTTGTATTTACATGTATTTACTCTGTTGCCCATGCTGGAGTGTAGAGGCACAATCTTGGCTCACTGCAACCTCTGCCTCCTGAGTTCAAGTGATTCTCATGCCTCAGTCTCCTGAGTAGCTGGGACTACAGGTACACGCCACCACAACTGGCTAATTTTTGTATTTTTTTGGTAGAGATGGAGTTTCAACATGTTGACCAGGCTGGTCTGAAACTCCTGCCCTCAAGTGATCCACCCTCCTTGGCCTCCCAAACTTCTGGGATTACAGGCATGAGCCACCATGCCTGGCCCTACAATTTATTTAGATAATAAAAGACTATTCTGTGAAATATACAAAGAAGTCTCATAAAGTCAAACAACCAAAAGAAGAAAGGAAATGACAGAGGAAGGAAGGAAATAAGAAAAAAAGAGGAAATAAGAAGAAACAAAATAACATTTACCAGAATAATAAACTTGTTCACAAACAATTCACAAAAAGAAGCCTATGTTGCCAATAAGTGTATAAAATGACATATTATTCCATACTCATCATTTTGTAAAAATAGAAAAATACCGTAATAGGCTGGGCACAGTGGCTCACACTTGTAATTCCAGCGCTTTGGGAGCCTAAGGCGGGTGGATCATGAGGTCAGAAGTTCTAGACCAGCCTAGCCAACAGGGTGAAACCCCATCTATACTAAAAATACAAACAATTAGCTGGGCATAGTGGTGGGCACCTGTAATCCCAGCTACTCAGGAAGCTGAGGCAGGAGAATCACTTGAACCTGGAAGGCAGAGGTTGCAGTGAGCTGAGATCGCACCATTGCACCTAGCCTGGACAACAGGGTGAGACTCCATTTCAAAAAAAATTACAGCAATACCAAGCATTAGTAAAGGCATAGGCCCAAGATAATTTTTATACACTATTGAGTGTGTAAATTTTTCATCCAATACAATAAAAGTTCCATGGGGAAAAAAAAAAAAAAGCAGCTCATATAAAAAGATACTGTTCTGCATTACAATAAATTTTCTGGAAAATTTCTTAACCACTTTATATACGATGTTGGCAAAGTTGCTTTTATAAAAAATATGATAGCAAGAAGAAATCTAATACAGCTGATTCCATCTTTCGTCTAACCTCACAAGCTAACTGCCTTTGTTTATTCCTTGGCATATGCCAAGCTAGCTGTGTGAGGAATTTCGTTTATAGTTTAACTTTAAAACAAAGGTGGTAACAGTCCCTTCCCAGAACTCATCTCCCTGGTTTGGGGCTGAACATGCTTTTGTAAAACTAACAGATTGGTCACAAGGTTAGAATTATGATCCAGGAGTCATGTAGCCACAGGTCATAAGATTTGTAACCTCCCCAGTTGCTCCTATAGAAAACATCACTACTATAAAACATAAGACTGGTGTTTGAGATGTTTTCAGAGCTTGCATTCTGATGCACCAGCTGGCACCACCCAGACCAATAACCCATACTAAGAAACTGACTCAATTGCCCTTGTGCTTCCCAAGCCAGGAATTGACTCAGTGCAAGAAGACAGCTTCAACTCCCTATAATTTCATCCTTGACCCAACCAATTAGCATTCCTCTATTCCTTAGCCCTTCTATCTATCAACCTATCCTTGAAAAATCCAAGCATCTGCATTCCTGGGGAAGCAGATTTGAAAATTATCTCCTGTCCCCCTCACCTGTCTGACCCTGTGATGATTAAACTCTTTTTGCTGTAACACCTGCTGTTCTCTGTGTATTGGCTTTTCTGGGCAGTGAGCAAGATGAACCTGTTGGTCAATTACATTGGAGTTAAAAAAAAAACACCTGCGTGATTTTTTTCAGGGAAAAAAAAAGTGAATGGTTTTAGTTCTTATTTATAATTTCTCATTAATTTTTTAAAAAGGCAAAATTTTCCCTTTATTTTTTGCTTTTCTTCATTTCTTTGCTTTATTTGCAATCATTCTTATTTTTATATATTAGGTATTCTTGTCTTTATCCTTATATCTTTCCTATGACATTTTCTTAATTACACCACATTTAATAAGATAGCAAATACGTTTGTGGATTTTATAAAATGATTTATATATTTTTAAGAATAATAAATCATGAGGGAAATAGAAGAAACATAGATATACATAGATATCATATATGTATACATAGATACACATAGATACATGTATATCATATACATAGATATACATATTATTTTCTCAAGTGTCCGTTCAGTAGAAGTCACATAACTTTGATTCTTAACAAAATCTCAAAGTACAACCATAAGGTCAATTTGGTAAGTGGCAGCTGCTCCATAATCTTGCTGAATTTGCTGGTGAATGAATGAATAAATGTTCAACTTGTCAAGGTGCATAGCAGGAAGAGTTGTTCACTACAGCTCAATAGTTCAACTTTCTTATGTGATAAGTGTAAAGTAGAACTTGAATTTATTTTCAGTTTTTCCATAAGGATAACCAAGTGTAATCTCTACCTGAAAGTACTGTGTTACTACCTTTCATCACCACTAAATGCTTGGTTAGAAATCCTTTCACAACAATAGTGACAAGAATATAGTATTTTGAAATGTGTCAATAAACTAAGCTAGTCTGAGCCTATTTAAAATGTTAGTCTGCTTCCAGAAAGACATGATGACCTAAAATGTCATTCTTAATGAGATCAACTTTGTAAGAGACTATGCAATGTATCCGCTTCTCAAATTTTTACAAAGTCAATTCGCCTGTTAATGTTCATGTATGTTCAAGCTTTGCAGCATGGAATAAGAATAGTTTCTCATCTCTTATATCTTGCCTCCTGTCTAATCAAAGCATTTTCTAATTCAAATTGCATTAAGTGGTGCACATCAGATGAGTTCATCTAGTCATTGAATGAGAAAAGCATCCCACTGAGGGTTGAGCTGAGGAATCACTTAAAGCTTTTAACTATCAAGCTGTTTTAAACCTATTTATTTTCCATGACATCAATTATCATTTTCACAAGATTGGTTTCTCAATAGTTTCTTTTCCTGGTGAGGTGACATAAAAAGAAAAAAAGTGATCTTCTTACTCAGTTACATAAATCTCAATACCAAACCCCCATCTCATTCCCAAACAATCATTCTATCTAAATTCACTCATAAGTAATATTGTAAAATAGAGTATTCTATTGTGCAAAAGAGGATGTTAGAAGTTTTGCTTGCTTTATACAAAAATTCTGGGGCTTTTATAGCTGTATATAAACAAAGTAAATTTACCATATTGATGTAATAATTCATTGTTTGATCACCACTGTTCATCTGATGATTAGAAAACAAAACTTTTAGAATCTCCTTCTGCTTAATTCCTAGAAATTGGGCCATCTCTTAGTGGATATTTTTTTTTCATTCTGATTTGAATAGCATTTAAAAAACAGTGTAAAGCAATTGGCTATTTATTTTGATTTATTAAAAAACAGAAATTACATTTAAGAAAAATTCAATCCAATTTAAAA